GCAGCTTGTGCTTAATAAAAGTCAAGATGGCAGCCATGCCTATTTTTTTATGTGTCACGTGTGCATTGAAGACCCCTCCAAGCTCTGCTTCTAAAAGTGGCCATCTTGTTTTGCTTTGCATGGCACCAATGCCCAGGAAACGTTTCCAATTATGGAACTGCAGGATGAGGTTTAACAGGGAAAAGTGCTTCCTTGCTCTAGGGCAGTGATGGCGAACCTTTTAGAGACCAAGTGCCTAAACTTCAACCCAAAACCCACTTATGTATTGTCAGGTGCCGGGTGGGCGTGGCCGCCGGGTGGATGTAGCCCGCCGGGTAGGCGTGGCTACGGTGGTCATGGCAGACGGGTGGGCGTAGCCAGGGTGGGCACGGCCAACTCAATGTTGCTCCTGGGAGGGACACCTGTGGGGGCCGGGCAGGGTTGGGGGAGATCCAGGGGTCTCTGGTGGGTGGGGCGGTGGGCAGGAGGCTGGTTCTGCTGGGTGAGGCGAGGCAGGGCGGGGGTGCCATGTTGCAGGGCTAGGCGAGGCAGGGGCCAGGGGGCTGCTGCCTGACACCATCGGCCCCCGCACACAAAGGCTAGCAAGCGCATGGGACCTCGGCAAGTTAGCGGGCGGCTGGTTGAAGAAGACGGTTGCCATCTCAGGGGCATGACACGCGTGCCCACAGAGAGGGCTCCGAGCGCTGCATCTGGCACGCATGCCATAGGTTTGCCATCACTGCTCTAGGGAGAGAATTGCATTTCCTCCATGACATAAAATTTATTTATTTATGTCCTGCCTTTATTATTATTATTACTAGCTGTACCCAGCCACGCATTGCTGTGGCTCAGTCTGGTTAAATGGAAAAGAAAGAAAAGAGAAAGTGCACGTTTGTAATATATCATGTTTTACCTGTCACAGGTGTGACATCTATATAATAGTAGGTATATAAAAACATGTGCGTATTCGAATGCAACGTGTCAAAATTTCAAAGCAATCGGTGAAGAACTTTCAGAGATTTAAGATTTTGAACAAATGAACATTTACATTTTTATTTATATAGATTATTATTATTATAACTGGAGGCAAATGTATCCAATATAGCTTCCTCCTCTTATTTTCCCCACAACAGCAGCCCTGTGAGGTGGGTCTGGCTAAGAGAGAGTGACTGGCCCAAAGGCACCCAGCTGGCTTTTATGGCTAAGGAGGGACTTGAACTCTGGGTCTCCCACTTTCTAGCTTGGTACCTTAGCCACTAGAGCAAACTGGCTCTCTTAATGCTGTTCCATATCATCCAGAGATTTATCACTACATCCACATCTCTACCCTTATAGCTTGATAAGGTCATGGAATTGATAGCCCTAATAAGGCACAGGAGACCCAGGAGAGCACCCAGTTCACAGAGAAAATAATTGGGCTCAGGAGCTATAATGTGGTCTGCATCATCTCTAGATTTCTGGCTTGTCTTAGACTAGTTTACACATTTGCAATAAGACATAATATGGTTTGTTTAATACCAGCATAGCATTTTATATAAAGCCAGACGCTGAGGTTTGCAAACTATGATTTCTGGTGTAATAGTTGTGCAAGCCCAAATATGGATTACTCAAGATAGAGTAAAACTATTAAAACCTAGCTGGGTCAGAGTTCAACGCTCTTTTGCCTAAAAACCCTTTCGCAGCAGAAGGAAGAAACCCTGATGAATCTATGCCAGGGCTATCAAACTTGCAAATGTCACGTGATGTGTCGCGACGTATCACAACTTTTTTTCCATTGCCGTCAATGGGGTGGGCGTGGTTTCGCCATGACGCATCCGGCCCGTGGACTGGCAGTTTGACACTCCTGATCTATGCTGTTCCTAAGCAGATTCTCTTCCGATGCTTAATATGACCGTGTGGGTGAGCCCATCCCAAGATTGATTTGAATCTTGTGAATGTTCCATGCAACTGAAGCATTTTTTAAAAAAATTGGTAGTTTTATCCCGATTTTAACAGCCCAGTCATATATATGAGGTGGCTGGCCATATATATTAGATAAATTACAACCTCAAACGTCAGCCCTCTCCCCATTGCAAAGAGGCTCCTCTTTTCAAGTGCTCGCAATAATAGAAGTGGATTTTACTGGCACATTTGTTGTGACAAAACTATTCAGACAATACATGTAATAGTGAAAGCAGTGGCATTAGCACATCCCAAAGATGCTTTTTTTTTTTTTTTTTCCAAAAGGCAACACAACTTTTTTGGTTTTTCCTTTGAAAACATTTTGGTTCTCATCCAAGAAGCTTCTTCAGTTCAGCTTCTTCTGAGAATTGAAGAAGCTTCTTGGATGAGAACCAAAATGTTTAAAAAAAAAACCCAAGAAAGTCCTGTTGAATTTTGAAAAAAAGCACCTTTGAGAGAACCATGAACTGGAATCTGAAACCTCCATAGACATTTGGCATTAGCACAGTGTACTTTTAAACATTGGAGCATCCTTTGTCTTAAATCGGTGTGGTCCTTATGAGTTGAAAATAACTTGACATCACATTATCCATCCATTAGTTTTAACTTATCCTGTTCTCTAAACCAGGGATCCTCAACCTTGGCAACTTTTAAGATTTGTGGACTTCAACTCCCAGAATTCCTCAGCCAGCAAAGCTGGCTGAGGAATTCTGGGAGTTGAAGTCCACAAATCTTAAAGTTGCCAAGGTTGGGGACCCCTGCTCTAAATGGGTTAATAAAGTAACCAGGATGAATACGTTGTATGAACACAGCCAAATGTTCAGCTTAGGGAACTGTCCCCTCGGGCTCCATTGAATACACGCTACCAACAGCAAATAAGAACAGCCTATAAGGGGGGCAGCAATTCAACTGGGTCCCCCGACATCAGCATGCTTTTCCGTTAGGCTGAAACGCACCGTACCCCAAAACAGAAAAGCGAACGGCAATAAGTGCATTCACACGAGGCGGAGTTGTTTCTAACCCACATTAAGTTAGATGTCTGCATTTTAGCGCGCTGCGTGAATGCATTCAAGAATGGCTCCACGCCGGCTCCTTCTTTGTTCCAAGACCACAGGATGACCAGAGGCTCAGCTAGCCCCGTTCACAAGAGACGACGAACCCAGCAGACGGAGTCTCGCAGCCGGAGCCGCCCGCTGCCGCCCAACGCCATCTCCGGGGCCGGGTCACCGCCCGGAGGACCTGCCAAAGCCAGGCTCCTCCGCTTCCCCGGGCGTTGCTCTAAGCGACAGAGCCGAAAGAGCGTGCGAGGAGGGCCATCCCAGGGTCAGTATTTGCCTGGCTCCGCCCACTCTCCCTGACGGGCGGGGGGCAAGGAAGGCGGAGGCCCATTGGAGCCTCGTGCAGTGCTGGGGCCACGCCGCGCTTCCCCTTTAAGAGCCGAACCTCCGGTCTTACTCCTCGCGGTACAAAATGTATCAAATCCGGTGGGCGGGGACGCGCTGGCGTTGCGCGGGCCAATGGGAGCGCGGCCTTTTCCGCGGGAGATCCGAATTTCGCGGCACGTAGTTTGGCGCTTAAAAAAAAAAAGCGAGTGAAGGAGGAACGGAAAGAGAAAGGGCTGGGCAGCCATCGGGTCCTTTCTTGTCCCAATCCAGATCCATCCTTGGCCCCGGCAGCTTTGGCAGCGCCCGGAAAACTTGCAGCAGCCCAGCCGGGAGCCCTACGGAGCACTGCAAGTTGGAAGGAGTCCACGAAAGGCGCTAGCAGGGCCCCCATCGGCTTCAGGGCCCGGGCTGGTGCTCGATCCCTGCCCGGTTGGTGCTTCCAAAGCCTTGCAGCCCTGCCAGCTAGACATTAGGAGCGGAGATCGGAGGGCAGGGCTCGCCGGAGCGAAACCTCCCGCCGCCCACCCGAGCCCGTCCTCGGGCCTTTTGCAAAAAAGGCCCCCCGAGCTTTTGTTTTCAATCCGACGCTGCGTTTTCTCTGCCTCCTTCTCCCCCCCTCCCCCGCCACAGAAGCTTTGCAGGAGAGGCGCGGGTGGCGGGCATTGCTCGGGCATGAGCTTGGCCGAGTTGCAACTCTGCAGCCGAACTCCCGGGAAAGTCCCCTCTGGAAAGGCCAGGCGCAAATCTTGGGGTGCTTTTTGTTTTGGGGTGCCCGGGCCCAACCTGCGCTGTTAGAGAAGAGGCGGTGGGGTGGGGGAGGGCAGAGGAACTAACGAGTGACCCGATGGCCGACTCTTTCAAGAAAAAAAGAGCCTTTGGCGAGCCGCGTGGATGAAGAGACCCGGACTGTGTGAACGAAGCCTCCCACGCTGCCTGCAACCTCGCTTCGTTTTCCTTGGGACTTTTTTTTTCCTCCCCTTTTTTCTTCTTCTTTCCGCTCCCCGATCTGTATCCTAGGGGGCCGATCCTGGGTAGTCCCCCCCCCCCCCGATGGCAGTTTTAAATGGCTAGGAGGACTTTTCCCATTGTACCTCTCCAGGTCGGTCCCGACACGCGTTGCTGGAGTTCCAAGATCTTCCTGGTTGCGCCTGGCCTCTCGGAGGAAGGCCATGCTGAGACTCCCCAAAGCTGGGCCTTCCGCCCCCGGCCGAGGGGCGCCTTCCCTCGTCCCCCCCCAGTCACAAAAGAAAAGCATGTCTGTCGGCAGCTCCGCAGAGCTGGTGGTCGCCGACCTCGCAGGCCCTCCGGTGCGGGCTCTCCCCGCAGCCTATTTCGCTCAGGTGTATCCCCAAACGGCGGTGGTCGCTCCGTTACCTCGAGGCGGTTGCCTTTATGCCACCCCTCATGGACCTGAGATCAAAACCATGCGATCGGCCTCCACGGGAAAACTGCCGGTAATTTCTCTTTTTTCTGCCCTCTGTTTGATAACTGTCACTAATTTGTGTTCCTTTGGGGGGATTGAGTTTGGGGGAGTCCGTGGGAAACTCTTTGTTATGCCAACCTGACCAGATCCAGAAACAGGGCCTGGCTTCACACAAGCTCTGTTTGCCATGATGTAGTTTATTTGATTTGGGG